TTCCTGGTAGAAGAACCATGACAGAGGGGCATTGGCTCAGCCTGACGTGATACCCAGACACAGAAACCCCTTCCTGGTGAGTGGTCGGTCACTAGTCATTAGCACTTCCCTCATGGCAGCTCCGTCGAGTCCTGCGGCCCAGCCCTCTCCTGCTGGGAGCTGAGCAGCACCCATGAATTCCAGCAGCCCATGACAGAGGCAGCTTGTGGCCCTCCCTGTGCCCTCACTTGACATTGAAAAATCCCAGACACTCATGTTCCTCATTTGACTGGGCACAAGCCGTGAGCTTGTCCATGACCCATGTGCCAGTGTCCCCATCTGCAAAAACAGGGACTTCAAGAGTGGCTACAAATTTTGAGAGCTGCTGCTGAAGAGCTGAGTGTTCGGTGTCAGAGCTGAAAGGGTCCTGCAGTGCTTTCACTACTTGGAAGCAATTAGCACCACTTCCAGGTGAAAGGAATTCCAGAGTTGAAACTTCACTTGTGAATGAATTTTACCATGGTAGATCTGCACTCAGCAAATGCCATGGGGCATAATCAGGAGATGGAGCTAAATAGATATCAAGTAGACATGGCAAATTTTACACAGCACTAGCGTAGTTTGTTTATTTGCACTAAACTAGAATTCAGTTACTTTCCAGTTTCTTCTGTGGTTGAGCTGTTTTGCAGCAGCAGTGCCTGGCTGAACTGAGTATCAGATACGCAGGTGTTCTGGGCTCTGTGTCCTGAAGTAACAACAGGTTGGTGAGATGGCTTTTTTGTAGAATATTTCCAGAGGAAGCCCTTTGGAACAGACCCTTTGGAATAGACCTTACTGTAGCTAATTAAAGAACACATTTGTAAGCAGGTAGACTTTCAAGGTGCCAGGCTACTACTGTCAGCTCACAGCTGAAAAAGAACTGTTTGATTATTGACATTCATTTAAAAAAAAAAAAATTGCATCCAGTATGAAAAAAAAACATAGTCTTCGTGCCTCCCATCCTGTAACGTTTCCACAAAGCTTCAGGTCCTCCCTGCATTCCTCTGACCAGTCACATCAGTGCTTAACAGTGGGAACGAAGCAATGCTTTGGCTTTTGCAGGACAGGCTGTAGGCCAGACACTGCAGTGTGGGATTGTTAAACTGGATTTGAGAGGCTGCTGGATCTAGAATTAAAGGACATGGGCGTGAGCTGATGGAAATTCTGCAGGAGGCTGGCTTCCACAGTTCAGTGGAAATGAGCACCAGTTAAGCTGATGCAGATCTATAGAGAGGCAGCCAAGGCTCAGCTTCAGCTTAGGCATTTAAAATGAGCATGTTTCTATTGAAGGGGCTGGTGGCTACACTACCTGTGAATCAGAAAGCAAAACAAAGACAGTAAGGAGTGTGTTTGAGCTTTATTCTGGTAAAGTTGGTTCCCACTCCCCAATGCCCTTCTGTACTAAAGGGAAAAGAAAAAAACAAAGAGGAGATGCACTTTTTGAACGTGAACAGGCCCAAAGCACAAACCCTTCCCCTTTGAACTTCTCCTGCTTCTGTGCTGTCACTGTGCATGTACTGTCTGTGTGGCTTCAGGTACATCAGGGGCATCAGCTCTAACAGAGAAAGGCAACAGAATTGTCTTCTACCCATTTTCATGTTACGTGGTACTGAAATGCGATTTCTTGTTTATGAATTACTAATAAAAAGCTCTTTGAAATTACTTCATTGCTCTCATTTTCTTGAGCAAACTGTAGAGACAACCAGCATCATTTCTTACAGAGCACAGCTGGCAAGGGCATGTTCCACATTTGTTTGGCCAGGTAGAGCCCTGAACCTCAGCTGCTGCAGATCTTAACTAGTTCAGAGACAAAATTACAGTGGAGTAAAAGGGAAGGTATTGTACCAGCAGGACCCCAGATTAGGAGCCCTTTCTGATCACTTGCAGGTGCCTTCCAGTTAAATGAGAATCATACCTCAGTCACCTCGGCTGTGGAAAAATTAAAAGGACAGGAGTTGTGCTTCACAAAAATGCATTTTCATTGGACAAATCCATAGTGAATGCGTGACCTGCTTCCTGGAGCTGTGATTAAAAGGCTTAGCCCATAACCTGCATGATTCTGACAGGTGGTGAGTAGTGTTGGTGGGATAAGAAGATGGTTTATTAGATAAATAAGGTCTTATTTACAAGTCAAGGCTAATAGTTTTAGATGACTCTCTGCTGCTTTAATGCAAAATGAAGCAGCTGCCAGTCCCAGATGGAGCTACCAGCCCAGGACCAGAGGACCCCTGCAGAGCTTTTGTGATGTGTGCCTTACAGGGAGCCCCAGGGAGCCTGGTACTGGGTCCTGCTGCTTACCCAGCACGGACTAACGCAAACGATTTTTCTGCAGCCTTCTCTGAAAAGCAACAGCCAATTCTATATTAAAAGTTACACCCAGAAGTGTTTCTTTTAACTGTACATGTCATCACTTCAGACAGCACCATGGTGTACACAGACACTTCAGAGCCCTGCCCTTCACGGCTCACAGTCTAGGAAGGTGCAGTAGGAAGGGTGTTACCCACCCACTGCTCCACCTGAAGATTTGAATGAAAAGTGTCACATCACGGAATGTAACTGATCATACTCGGCACTACTTCGTTATGTTGTCAGATACATCAGTGCCCAGTGTGTGCTGTACTACCATTCCTGACACACACCCCCTGCTGCAGATCAGAGCCTTTGATTAAATTAAGCAAGTCCTTCAAGAATACACAGGTTTCACTGGGATTGCCTGTTGTCCCAGCAAATATGACCCTTTCCCCATCACGCCTGCTGACCTGACGGGGAGAAAAGAAGTAAGACGCGTGGAGGAGCTTGGAAGACTCCCACTGGCACAAGGGCAAATCATGAAAAAGATTAAAAGGATAGTTTACACAAAATCAATAAATTACACACCAAACCATTTGACTACACTGTTTTAAGGGTTTTTTTGTTGCTAACACAAGCCTGTCTGCATGAGTATGAAAACCAGACATCAACCAGAAACCAGAGTTTACCTCAAGTTTGGTACCTTCAACATCTTAAAACTCTTCAGAGCCAAGAGCCAACGTGCCCAGTTTGCCACATTCTGGGAACCATCACTGCCGCAGGAACCAGCTCTCCCCAACTTCCTCCTTCCACAGCAGGCACGTGGGACACCGCTACAGGTACTGGATGGGGGGAGCAGCCACATTTCCAACCAATCTGAAGACCTGATATACTACTGCTAAATTCTTAAACCACCCCCTGTATCACAACCCTCCTATACTCTCTCTCCCTTGAATTGCAAGCCAGCAGCTGAGAAACACTGAACTGCCAGCCTCAGCTTGAACCAGAGCAAACAACCTCCCTCTCCCAACTCACAAAACTGAACTTTAATTCTACTTTCAACTCTCCAAGTGCAGAATTCTTATTCAAAGTGGCACTTGTTACTATCAGTCAGCATGGTTACAAGCACTGAGCTTTCTGCTTGGTCCCCAGCACCTCAAGATCCTTCCAAGTTAATGAGTGTTGACGTCACACCATTTCTGCTTGATACAATTTTTTCCTCCTGCGTGCCCTTTTCCTCCTGCATCAATCCCAAAAGCTACAGCCCCTGCTCCCCACAAGCAGCCTAGCACTTTCCCTCACATTCAGGTTTCCACCTTTGACAGACACCTCAGTCAATGCACATGACAAAAAACTGACTTCAGAAATATTTTCTAGCCATTTCCAGTGCAGAAGGAAAAGTTGGAGGAGTTTCTCTAAGGAAACTGAGACTAAAGATAAACAATTCCAAATTCCACCAAACAATTCCACCAAGATAAACAATTCCAAAGGCAGGGTGGGTTTTTTGCCTCGAGGGTCAACTCGGACTACAAGTCTAAGATCTTGAGTGGAAATTGAAGCGCTGCAACAACAAGTGATAAGCACAGCATACACAGCTACAGATCCCACCAGATCCCATGGAGAAGAGTCACATGGCCAAGGGAGAAGAAGGATTGGAGCCCCATATGCAAATCAGACGGACAGAGAGCAGAAGGGTGAAACTGTCCAGGCAAGCTTATCAAAAATTAGGAACCACTTGGTCTGCTAAACAGTGGAGCCCACCTGGTCCCAGTGTGACCGCTGCTGCAAGGTCCCTTGTACACAATGAGCAACCACAGGAAGAACAATAATCCCACAGATGCATAAGTGTCACCTGCCCCTAAGACAAGGTAGGAGGCAGCAGCACTGTCCGGCAGTGGAGAGAGGCAGCTGGATGACAGGACTGGACTCTAGAAGAAATTAGCCTTTTTTCCTACCCAAAGCTTCCCCACTACCATTCAGCCAAGAGAAAAGCAGAAGAGGACTGAGCACAAGTAGGAAAGGTGCTGATCCCTGGCAAGTGGAGCAGCAGACAGATTGGAAAGCTGAGAGTCTAAGCATACAGCTCCTAAATGGGACAAAACATGGAGTGAGAGCAGCCCAAAACCAACAAAGTAATCCAGAAAACGTGTAACTGGTACTGACCCTATGGTGTGGCAGAGAAAGTCAGCCACAGAGAGAGCGTGTGGTGACTTTTCTGGGAAGTCATCTAGTGCTGGAAGGTGCTAAACAAAAGTCAGTCAGCCTTAAGACAACACCAAGTAAATATTTCACTTCTGATGCAAAAAGCAGCTCTAGGCAACTCTTCCTTCAAACCATGAACCTTTCCAAAGACCCTCCTGTCCCTGCTGACAGTCATGTTTTCCCCACCTCCAGGAGGCACGTACGGAAATGCTGCAGCAGAGCTCTGCCATGGCTGCACTCCCCTTCCTAGCAGGAGGCCACCAGGAGCTAGAACATCTGCTGTGTTCCTTATCCAGGAAGTGGCATCACTCCTCTGAGAAGGGGGACAACAACTGACCAGCACCAAAGCTATATAGTGTATCTTCTGGAAAGGGGCTATCAGCCTTTAAGCTCCAAGTTTCTGTTCCAAAATAAGAGGGGCTTTAGGTCCACTTGAAAAGAGCAATGTAAATATCAGCTACTCATTTAATTGCTTTCAACAAATATACACATCTTTTAAAGTAGGTTTATTCATTAGGATCATGTAATTTAGTTACACCCAAATCAAAGTTCAAACGAACCAGAATATGAATGCTGAAAATTCCCTTAAGCTACAGACACTCTAAAGTTAGCAGATCAAAACAGTGACCAACATTTTACACTTCTAGTGTTTTAGAAGTTACTCGTGCTCTTGAACAGCTTCCTAAGCACATGCTCACCACTTGAATGAGTAAACATCCTTGCAACATTCATTTCACTTTCTGTGCATATCAAAAAATAAGTTAAAATGCCCGAAGAGGGTTACCTAAGAAATAAATACTACATCTGGATCAAACATGACAATTTTGTAAACATTAGACAAGGCTAGGACCATTACCAATATATATGTATGCATGTTTTATAGCAAACAGTTTCTGCAGTTACTGGAGTATTTTTCCAGAGAATGAGAAGCATTTAAAATTATTTTAAAACCATTTTGTACCAATGTGGAAAAGTGTTGAAAAAATTCAGTTACACTGCTGGTTAACACAAAGCACTCAAAAAGGAGAGTTCATTTGGTTTTCTTGTACTTGTTTTTTCCATTCGGGGAATGAAAAGTTCCTGTTTATGACCATTTGGATTTCAAATTTCCCGCTCATTTCTCATTTCAACTCTTCTGGTTATTGCATCAATTTCTCCCTCAGTTAAGACATGATGTAAAGAGCGAGGATCAGTGGAACTGCATGGTCTCTTCATTCAAGTTGCCTACAAGTACACTTCTTAGAGATAAAAAAGTATTTTCCAGCACCTTCCAGGAATTACTACTCGTGCCCTCATAGGGAGGGGAGGAACTAAGACAAATTAATAAATAAGAAAATAAATTATACCTTTTTCCCTACCAAAAAAACTATTTTCAGTTATTAACATCAAGAGGAACTTTATCTTTGTTTGGATACAAATATAAGAGATAAAGTATCTGGTGCCACGATCAGGCATCATATTTAAACAACGTAAGAGTTAGTTCCACACAAGTTGTAGCCTTTCAGGATGATCCTCTAGATAAGTATCTAATGCTACAGTATCATGTTTGGACTCATGTAGTTCCCTTTAACTGATCATAAGACACTATCACATTACAAAGCAGACAAACTTCAGTGCTCTAGGACCTATCAGCCCTTCACAGAACAAAAATTCACATGGAAAACCCTTAATACCACACATGCATTCTTTTCAAGTTCAAGTTAAGACAAACTGAGATCGTGCAAATATAACATACTCTCTATCCTTGTTTAAAAAGGCACATTTAGGCCGCCTTAAATGTGCTTAATGTTTTGTTTTCAGTGTTAAAAATAAATTGTTTAAAGGAAAAGAGCATCTGCAGGAGGTCAATTTAATCTTCAGTAGGCAACAAGAGCTGCCGTGGAGATGACAGATGAGGTTACTTTTCCGCTGATCCAATATTCTTATAAATATACAAAACCTCTTCAGATCAGCCTTGGAAGGGAGCAGTCTGCAGGATAAGACTTTTCTGTCAGTTACGTGGTTTTACTTGGTGAAACCAAATATTTGGTTTTATTTTTCCGTTGAGGCTGCTGCCATGGCTGGTTTGATGCCCTCGCGCGTTGACTTCAGCTCCTCCAATTCCGTGTTCAGTTTGCTGATCACCCACTCCAGGGCATCCCGACCCTGCCAGAAAAAATACTGGAATTTAGGATCAGAACAGATACACCACCACTGCTCACGTTTCTATATAGTTTTTCCTCTGTCAGACATGGGACTTGTTTTAAAACTCATTTCATGCCCTGTGTAATTTGATACAGGTTATATCGATAATTTCTTAGCATCTTCTCATGGAAACATCACTGAAAAGGCATTTGCTTAACCCGTAAGCCAGAAGCTCACTGTGAGCTCCCAGTAGTACACTGGGATTAGGCAAACAGCCTAATTCAGCAGTTAAGTTTCCTTACCTAAGAGGATCTCTGTTTTTACTGTTTGCTGCTCCCACCACTCAAAGAATATCAGAAGATTTACAGCAAAGTCTATATGTTGTTCTCAGATTCATTAACTGAGTTATATGGACTGGTTTGGGGAAGATCCAGGACAAAGAAAGTTTTCCAAGTTTCTCTGACGTAGCAACTAAGAGCTCTGATATCTGTCAAGAGATCAGAAGTGGACTCACACTGAACTCTACATTCATGCACAGCAACATTTCAGCACCTAAACCACACTGAGAGACTAGAGTTGCACATTTTATATCAAGGTATGGTCTTTCTCTGATCAGTCCTCAGAACGGGAGTGCCCCAAAGTTATGAACTGACAGCCAGTCCTTGAGTAAGAGCTGGAGGACCCAGCACAATGAGCCTGACAAAAACCTTTGACCTTGAGAAGACCCTACAGCAGCTGCATCCCAGTGACCACAAGATGCAACCAGCTGCACAACAAAGCCAAGAAAGTAAGAACTACTTTAACTAAACAGAAGTGCAAAATTCCAGTGCAAAATTTTCATTTTAGAGCTCTGTGATCTCAGAATAGCAATGTTTGCCATAGCAAGCAGATGGGATCAGACCAGGACGCCATCTGGCCTTTTTTCACCTAAAGAGGTCAAGAGACATCAACTCTACTACTCTACTAAGAATAAGAAGTACACACAGTGGAGAGCAGTAAGTGGGAGCCACATGGCTCTGGCCAAGTCTAGAGTTCTGGAGATAAGGGTTTGAGCCCCAAAAGTCTTAAATCTTCATGAGAGTAAGTCTCAGTATTCAAGCCCTCTGCAGAGACTGACAGAAAGGAGGGGAACATCCTCCTCCACACACAGCTTTGTTCCAAACTGTGATGTACTAATTTTGTTGCGTGCATTACAGGTGATAAAGTGCACAGAAACCTCATAGTCTCCAGAACCCACTGTTGTCTTTTATGAACCACTAAGCACGAACAAGAATCTGCATAAGCAGCTTTGAAAACCTAAGAAAAAAAGTGTCAGAACAATGCACATATACTCCTGAAGGATTTTTTTTTCAGGCTAGAAACATTACTCTGGAAAAATATGAGAAGCCCAGATCCAGGCTGTGAAGCGTAACCTCTTAAAAAAGAAATAAAGTTTTACTAAGAATAAGAGCATATTTATCTCAAGACCCTCACTAATGTCGGTGAAGAGCTGACTCTGTTTCTCTTAGGGTTTTCCATATAAATAAGAATAAACACTAATTGTTACATCTGCACTGGCAGTCCTTAGATTGAGAAAAGTCATGCACCTATCACAATAAAGTGCTCAGCTCTCGGTCAAAGCTCACAAAGGGAGATTCAGCTCCACCCCAAATTACCTCAAGAACTGGTATGTTTAAGTTAACTTAGTTCAAGAAACGCCTTTATTTACTAATAATATTGAAGAAAGCATGATTTAAATTGTCCGATTAAAGCACGGATTGCTGACAAAAGACCTTAGAAGGGGATGATTTAACTTCTGAATTCTTTCCATTTGAGCATGAAAGCAACCGTTCTTCGGCAGGTGATAACTTCCACCTTCTCCACACGCCGTGCAAGACCTGGGAACACCAGCAAAGCAGGCCAGAAAACCGCCCAGACAGGGGCAGGCTACTGCATAGCAACAAGTTGTAACTAGCCGTGAATTAGCTGAGAGGAGTGCTCCTAAGGAAAAATCGGGAAGGGGGGAGGGGAGCTGGGGAGACTCGGAGGAATCATCTTTCAGTAAGCTGGCATTTGGGCATTTAAAAGTCAGGTTTAAATGTCCTCTCTGAGGTGACACAGGCACAGAGAACTGAGTGAGACAGCAACAGCTTCGATGTTATATTTGTCTAATTGCACAAAGAAGACTTTGTCAGGAAGTCAAACACCCCTGCCACAAAAAATGCTCAGTAGAAAAAGGCTGAGATTCTTCTCTGGCCCTGACTATGAAACAATCACGTCATTGTGTTTTATTTGATATCTTTGTTGATAAGATTAAATAATTTTTTAAAAAGTCCACAACATTCAACTGGAGCACCAAGATATTTCCTTCAGTTTTTGAGACTACATAGGTCTGTGTATGTCCTTAGAATCACATATACTGTATGCTACATTTTGCAGCCAAGAATAAACTCGTGATATTGGCAAGGAAGATTTCAGGAATATTTTGCACAGGAAATTAAGTTAGAAATCTCAACCAGATGCAAAGCCTCCAAGTATCATAAAACCACCCAGTAACCAGAAAAAATCTGACAGAGGACTGGTCTATAAAATTTCACACTGTACAATTTCTCTAGTAAATCATTAAGCAAGCACATTCATAACCAGGCATGCATATTGTATTAGTCATTATTGCATGTGTCAGCAGTATGAAGTGTCTGGCAGAACAAGCGCTGCATATGACGATTTGTTGGTAGAGCTTAAGTGACTGATAAATGCTGAGCCTTTGTAGTTGATGTTTTCCAGAAAAAAATGCCACAGAAGCTTAGTGGAATGAGAACTCAAAAGCAAACACTCATGGCATACGCAGATCTCAAAGTAAGCAGTGTAGAAAGCCCTACTTTCTTAACTAGGAGAAGCAGTATAATGGATTTTCTTTTTTTTTTTTTTTTTTAAGAAATCTTATTAGTTGAAGCACAAGCCAATACAGGAATGACAAGGACAAGCTACACTGACTAGTAGAAGGAAAACAATTTGCACAGAGGTATCACAAGAGGCAAGTACACTCAGTTCTCTCAACCCTGAAGTCAGATTTGTTCACAGGCACATCACTGCAGGGACACGTCACTACTGAAATGAATATACCTACAAGACCAGTGAAGAGCAGGAACAGTCTGGCACCCTGACAGCTTCAAGCTCTGTACAGATTTCCTCAGAAAGGCAACAATATTCCTCAGGCATAAGAAAAGCAAATACAATTCTGCTATGCAAAAGATTACCCCTGTTAGGCAACCTGTTTCAAGAAACCAGTTTTATAACCTAAGAACACAGTTCTGTTTCATAATGCCAATTCCACTCACTAACCCATTTATTAATTTCTTTGGGTACCAGATTTATTTACATGCTGAAATCACAGAAGCTAGGCCCAGATCAAACACCCTGTGGACAGACTCCTTCACATTCCTGGCTGTCTGCAGTCGTCATTCCACTTTCAAACCATAAGCAAGACTGGCACAAGACATGGCTGCAGCAAGTTGGTTGTCCAGTGGTATAAGCACAGGTTCACGGATCCAGTCTGGACTGGACCTACTCTCACCCTCTACCACTGCAGTGTAATGAATGTCTGCCATTCCTGTATATGCAACGTGTGTAAAACATACATGCAGGTTAACTTAGGAAATCCACGTGCCAACAACCCATGCAAATATCTGCTAGGAAGCTGAAATGCTGTACCAAGAAGAATGCTGGCATTACCACTAGTTAGTACAAACTGCAGGTGTGGAGAACTGCTAGCTTAGAGCGCTTTCAGAATTTTGAATTATCCACTCAATAGCATCCCACCCCTGGAGTAACACAAAAAAGGTTTACAACGTATGGCAAATGATTTTTCCACCGTCATCAAAAATAATAACGCGTCATCTGCCACCTCTGTCTCAGAGCAAATGCTCAATAATTCCGATTTCTTCAGAAAAACAAAACATTTTTCAGCAACTTCATGAAGTTTAAGAGGAGTGCTAAGAGCACAGAGGCGTAGCACAGCATGAAAGAAGAGCTCGTAGTAGCACAGTAGGTTACTGGCTAGTAAAGAAAGGGCTGGTAACAACAAGTACAAGTTCCTGTTAAGTTAAAAATCTCTAGAGATTTTTCAGTGAAATACTAAGGACAAGGTCTCTCTGGTTTGCAAGAAGCTTGTGAGCCAGCGTGTTCCTTGAAAATGGCAGAAGCAGAACAATCTTTAAAAGAAATCGAGCTTTCACACAGGCAACACCTGAACAGATACCAGGAAATATTTACACTCTTTATCCAAGTTCAACAAAGACATGAAAATGAGACAGATATGCCACAAGAGGAATTCGGACAGTGTTTTTAAGTGTGCCTAGTTATGTGGACATTCCAGCTAGCTGGAGCTGCGCCCTCCACAGACTTTTAAATGGAGACCAGATCAGGACAGAACTGTAATTTAATTGAAAAACATTCCATTAGAGAGCACTCAGCTAGGTAATCTTCAGTGTCTAGAAATGACCCATCATTACTTCCCTAACCCTTGTTTTTAACATGTTTTCCTCTCACTTTAGGAGAAGCACATAGAAGGGTGGGAAAGGAGGCTTTCTCCACTCTGGTCTGGTTGTGCCATGGCTCCTATCAAGTTGGTTTACATTGGCTTGGTCAAGCAGTACCTTTCACAAGGACAAAGGGCTGGCCAAAGCACAGGCTCTCCAGCATAGCAGGAGTTACCTGGGCCAGATTCCCACTGTGCTGGGCCTCTCCAGCAATGCAGAGCACAAACTCAAACTCCAGGGGCACTCATCCTGCTGTTAGGCAGCAAGGCCTATGCTGCTCTAGCAACTCCATTTCTTCCCCAAACAACTCTAGGACAAAGTGACCAAGCATTCCCATAGCTCTGTCTGTGGAAGCACAAGACAGAGGAGTCAGTCTAGTGTTGCCTAGGAGAGCCAGCACAGTCTCACCTCTTCAAAGAATATGCTTCTGCTTGCACTACCTTACTTTCAGCCAAAGGCACGGAGACAGCTCAATAATGGATAGGAACTAGAAAAACTGACAAAGTAGCACAGAAAACATGTTGGCACTAACTGATAAACCCAGATTATGATCTGATAAATCCAGATTATAAAGGCTGAAAGGGAAGTTACATTCTTTCCTAGCACTAACTCCTGGAAATAGGAGGTTAGTGTTTAAAAAGGTACTTTGGAAAAAACTAAAACCCAACTAATAAAATGTATATTCTATACACAATTGTAGCATACACAAAGAAGCTTGTTTGTTCTGCTGTTCAACTTTAATTGAAACACAAAGATTCAGTAGTCACACCTTTTCATACTGTGGGAAATTATATTCTACTTGCTGAAGTCCTACAAAAAACAGTTGAAATGCTGTGCAAAAATTTAGGTAATTTAAATACAGCATTGAACACACACGACTGACAATTACTATTTCAACAAAAAGAACAACGGGGTGGGGGGAGAGAGGGAGAGAACAGAATAAAGATGTACCTTTCTGGCATTAGAAGATATCGTGTTTGCCATTAAGCTTTCCAGATAACTGCTCAGGCTAATGCCTTTAACAGTAATAATTGCCTCTTGAGTTAGCACAGTTCTGTAACAGAATAAAGAAAGGTTAATACCTAAACTGAACTGGACTAACATAATGTCTCCTATCCACCAGGATGCAAAGAAATATCCTTACTTACTTCTCAGGGTTTTCGGGATGAGGAGTGTAAACCAGTCTCTCATCAACAGACACCAAGTTTGTGAGAGTAATCTTAAAAAGAAAACAAGAGCTGAAATCCTCACTTCCCCCCTTTCACTTTTCTGTTATCAGCAGCACTACTGTGGTGCACTCAATCTAGTGTCAGCAGTGTATGCAGAATACAGAACTCAGAACACAGACAATAAAAAGACCTATACAGGGTGATGCATCTTCTCCTATCCTCCATCTAATTGTATCAAAGTTCCTGTTCACAGTTGTACAAAACACGAGCAGCTTTCTCTGACTCCCAAGTCTGATTTATGGCAGACGGTTTAGAGAGGCTCTTCAAGACCAAAAACACCTTGGACTATACAGAAAATTAATACCCATGAAAGACAATGCCTCTTGTATGGAGATAAGGCTCTCCTACAGAAAACCCCATTTTAAATCTGATAAGTTATGAGTTCCCAGGATATCCAAATATAGCCTAATACTTCATTTACATTTTATGAAAAAAAAGGCACTTCACGTTGAAACTTTTGTTGTAAATGGCAGTGTAATGTATAACAACTCATTAATCCAAAAGTCAAACTATTTTACATGCATTCCAAGAAATAATCTTGCATTAAAAACAGAATCACAAATGTTTGATCCTGAAGTATTTAAATTTCCTATTTGTGAGAAGAGAAAATAAGAGAGTCATCTAAGACACCAACTAAAACATGGATATTATTGCCTTCTGATTAAAGATGCAAACACATTTCTAATCTAAATGTTAAGAGCAAAACATCTAATTTTCAGAACTAATTACCAGAAATTTTTAAGCCACTACTCACATTAGTTGAGCAAAGCTCCATCTTTTTTTCCACTGGATCTACCACAGAATGTTCCTCAATGTAAGTCAGAGTTCTACTTGTTCCTAAAATCTGAAGATTTAAAAAAAAAAAAAAAAAGTTAAGTATCAAAATTAAACAAACAAACTGACCCTTGAAACTCGTAAAGGCCATGTTCTCAGTAACCTCAAATAAATCCAGAGTAATTCAGAGATACAAGACAACCGTGATCTGTGGCAAGACCACCCTGGTAGGTTGTGTCAGTCCTACAGCATGGCACAGACCAGCAGCCCGGGAGGCATTTACAGACACACACACACTATGGGCATAACAAAGCTTACAAAGTATTCTCACTACCAAGAATGCTACTTGTAGCCTGTCCGACACTCCTCTATGACAGCTCCTACGGATTAAGCTTTTACTTTGAATTCAGCTCCAGTTCAGACAATGACATAAAAGTGCACCACACCCTTAATAAAGGATGAAGACCGTGAGAACGTACGGCTTTTACAATGCTCGGCAATCCCCACTCGGTGCTGAGAAGACGGTGACTGTGCAACCTCCCCTGGTTATCAAGGCTTCTGTCCAGGACATCTACTCCTACCACAGATGGGTTCATCGGGTTGGGGTACTTCCTCATAGCAGCTTTGATCACTGTATCCCAGGGATGTCTGTAAAAAGGAAGGGGGAGAATGTTTGTAACTATTCTGTATTCAATCACAAGCATTCAAAGGGTATTAAATCAGGATCCAGCTCGTGTAATATGGCACATGCTGTACAACTTCACAGCTCCCAGAAGTCACTTTGGAATTCCAGTTATGCTTGGAAGGGCAATAAGAAAGTATTGACACACAATCAGAAGAAAAATAAACTAATTCTTCTTTCCAGAAAGGAGCAAAGAATTATTAACCAAAAACTAACAGAAATAAGGGCAAGGGGCAACAGTCACTAATTGCTACAAGTGACATTCCAATTAGCTGGGCAGAAACCCCTCACTGACAGGGCAGCTGCCCACAGAGACTGCTGAAATCTCAATTCATTCCAGAGCTCAACCAGGAAAACAACCTGACCTCACACTTCGGTTTGTCTTGCCTTGAGAAGAGGGCTGGACTAGATGACCTCTGGACTAGCAGCTCACTCCAACATAAATTCTTCTATAATTCTAAGCACACCAAATAAACTAAAGTGGAAACCATTAGCTTCCTATAGCAAAAAAAGAGTGAAATTTAATTCAACGACAAAAAAATCATTGAGAAGTTTGAAATAAAGAAATAGATTTTTAGAAACCGCATCAGCTCACAGCCTTATGTCTGCACTGGTACTACTGCTTCCAGCAGTTTGTTAGCACAGATTACATTTATGGATACTCTTCTCAGTACAGAACTGTTTTTATGAAATGAGTTTTGATAATCTCAAACCCCTGGGACCACAGCAGCCCTGCTATTCAAGGGCCAGGTTGTCCATATGACTCTCTTTCTTCTGAAACAGCAGAGGCTACAGAAATCATGGACTTGATCCACTACAGAAATTCTGTCCCTAAGCAGTTATTTCTATATTCAGAATAACTGACTGATCTGCAATGATAGGTTTATAGCCTTTAAAGGTATGTTTAAAAATTCAACAATTGGTATCTAACTTAAGAAGGATTAAGGGTGCCAATTGCACTTAAGAGTTGCACTTAGGGCCCTAAATGGATTTTGTTTTTGACAACACTACTTTTAGTTTTAAAATAGACTGGTACAGAAGGGCACCAACAGTACAGCACTGCAAGAACAAACAGAAACTTGGAAAAATGAGTTCTTTTTCCAACAAGAAAAGCATTGGAAAGCTTTTTTGGTGTAGGAAGGAAAAGTAAGAGCCCTCCATTCCTACAGCAGAAAGAGTGCTGGAGGATTGTTCCTTGTTATCTTCAGAGACTATTCATCTCCTTTAACAGAAGATACACAAACTGAAAATGTCAAATTTCTGTCAAGTGTCCCTGAGGGGTTGAGTCAGAGATGTGATAAGGCACAACAATATTTTATTAACCATTCAACTGAACTACCTCCACCCGCACACCTTACGCCATAAGACGGGGGGTGTTCTAATACACATCTTGACGAGAAAATGACAAAAATAGCTTTTGTGTTCCCTAGGCGACAGATACTCATCTCAAACTCAGAAGCTGTGCCATGCACGAGCAGCCTTTACTTCCCTCTGCCTGACACTTCACGTCAGAAGCTACAGTTCACTCACACCAGACTGATGATGAGGGCGAGCCCCGAACAACTGCACCCATCAGCGCTACGAACTGTGTTGACGTAATTAGAGAAGTTTAAAGCAACACATCTGGGATATTCTGTGAGTATTTTAAGGACTATCACCCCCGGTGCTCTTCGGGCTTCCAAAATTTGTTTTAAGACCCTGCAGCAGTCGAATCAGCGGTGGTGGCGGCATTCCAAGAGCTGCTCCGGCACTGCATCCTCCACGTCTGCTCCCCGACACAGCCCGTAACACACCTGTTGATACTTTTCCGGGTTGTTCCCTCGTTGCACAAGGGTGGAACTGGATGGACAGGACCATGTCCGGTGCAGAAAAGCACTAACGGGAAGGAAACTTACTGAGGGAGCCGATTGCTGGGCACCTCAGCGGGAGTTCCCCGCAGGTAAGGCACACAGCCGCGCTGTCCATACTTCTTGGAATGTATCACCGACCACGTCAGGAGTTTGAGATCATTTTTTTTTTATTATAGTGTGAAAGTTATTTTTCCTTGAACACCCATCCCTCTATCAATCCATCACGCTGCCGGGCCGGCTCCACCACTCTGCCCTGTCGGAATGCTGTTCCCGAGGTGGAGGAAGCCCTGGGCACGGGTCTGGCGGCGCAGGGAAGAGCCCGAGGCGATGCAGGACCGGCACCACCGGAGCCTGTCCGCCTGTCCTCCTCCTCCTCCTCCTCCTGCGGCCGCGGCATTCCCCGTTTCCGCCGTCACCCCGGTGGGGCCCGGTTATGCCGCATAGCCCGGCCCGGGGTCTCGCCGCGGCCCCCCCACGCCATCCCTCCCGCCCGGCCCCCTCACCCGAACACGTGCTCCGAGCTCCAGATCTTCATGGCGGCTGCGGGCGCGTGCCCTCGGAGCCCGGCGGGAAGGGCGGGAAGGCGGCGGGAGCAGCTCGCGCCGGACACACCGACTGACGGCTGCGCGCGGACCGCGCAGCGCGAGCGCCCGTGGCGGCGGGGCGGGGCGGGGCGTGCCCGGGCCGGCGCGCGCGTCACGCGCACGCGTCATCGCCCCGCCCAGCCCCGCCCCGCCCGCGGAGGAGGGGGAGGAGCTGCATTGCGCATGCGCTAAGCGCGCGGCTGCGGCGGGCGGGCCGGTCTGTGGAGTCACGGAGTTATGGAATGTCCTGGGCTGGGAATGACTCACGGGGGGCAGGGAAGTCCGACTCCCGGCCCTGCGCAGGACACCCCAAGAATCACACCGTGTGCCTGAGAGCGTTGTCCAGACGCTTCCTGAACTCTGTCAGGCTTGGTGCTGTGGTCAGTTTCCTGGGGAGGCTGTTCCAGTGTCCAGCCACCTTTTGGGTGAAGAGCCTTTTCCTAATATCCAACCTAACCTCTCCTGACACAGTTTGCCCTGGAAATGTGCAGCCTGGGAAAGTAATTCTGTGTTAGCGTTGATTGACTGATCCCCCTGCCCCTCACAAACCCTCACCACCAGCTCCTCAGCACAAAAGAAACATGGAGCTCCTGGAGCGGGTCCAGTGGAGAGCAACACAGATGATTAAGGGTCTGGAGCATCTCTCTCATGAGGAAAGGCTGAAGGAGCTGGGCCTCTTCAGCCTCGAGAAGAGATGACTGAGAGGGCACCCTGTCAATGTCTAGAAATATCTGAGCGAAGGGTGCCAAGAGGATGGAGCCAGGCTCTTCTTGATGGTGCCAAGCTACAGGATAAGAGAAAATGGGCAAGAACTGATGCACAGGAAGTTCCACCCGAATATGAGGAAGAACTTCTTTACTGTGTGAGTGGCTGAGCACTGGAACAGAGCCCAGAGAGATTCTGGAGTCTCCTCATTGGAGATATTCAAGAACCATCTGGACACAATCCTGTGCCATGTGCTCTAGGATGACCCTGCTTGAGCAGGGAGCTTGGACCAGATGACCCACTGTGGTCCCTTCCAACCTGACCCATTCTGTGATTCTATGAAGTACCAGCGTAGGAGTTTTGCTTTAAACACGCTGATAACAGCCGTGGTTGGGGGTGACGGGCTGGCAGGCTCAGCCTGTGTGGGGCTGTCCCCAGGGGCAAAGTGATGGTTGAGGAATGCAGCTGGTTCAGGTAGCTTGTTTGTAAGCAGCAGACTCAGATGCAGATTGAGGTCTGGGTGGGAGCCTGAGACAAGAGGCCGTGACAGGCTAAACCTTTACATAACAAAGGGCACAAAGACCGGTGGCAGGAAGCCAGGTGAATGGACACTGGGAGACACCCCGGGAGGAAGAGAGAGACTTTCGGGCTGCTTGGACTGTGAGGGGGTAAAAGCCCAGGGGTCCAACCCTTTGTTGGGGGTCCGTCCTCAGATGCACCAGCTCGGGTTGTTTCTGTGTTACTGTACCATGAATAACTTGCTTTATGGAACTAGACACCTGAGACTCTGCTGAGGGAAGCCTGGGGTCTAACCGGTAAGGAAACCTGGTCTGACGGGATGGGAGTGGAATGTGTGGGGAATCAAGCGGGGCAGCCGTGGGCTCACTGAAGCCGCCAGCTGTGAAAGGGCTCAGTCCCACCAGTAAAAGCGGCGTTGGGAGTGTGACCGCCAGAAAGTGTCCTGAACGGTCCGACTGGGATGTTTCCTCAGCAGTGATGACGCCAAACACCCGAGTTCACCTGGAGGACTTTGCACAGAGTAATTCTACAGCGAACACGTCAATACGAAATGCCCTACATAGCGAGGGAAAAAACAGGACACAAGTTTTTTTACTTGCCATCACCAGGAAGCTGTCACAGGGTAAACCGGTCCCAGCAGCGGGGGAACCCGCCTTGCTGAGCGGCGCCAGCTGGGCTGGGCTGGGCCGGGCCGGGCCCTGCCACGTCATCCCTGCCCTTGACTCAGCAAAAGGATCTGGACAAGCTGGATAGATGGGCTGAGGCCAACGGCACGAGGTTCAACAAGGCCAAGTGTCGGGTCCTACACTTTGGCCACAATAACCCCAGGCAGAACTGCAGGCTGGGGGCAGAGTGTTTGGAAAGTGGGCCATTGGAAAAGGACCTGGGAGTGCTGGTAGAGAGCAGCTGAGCATGAGCCAGCAGCGTGCCCAGGTGGCCAGGGAGGCCAAGGGCATCCTGGCCTGTATCAGAAATAGTGTGACCAGCAGGACAAGGTAAGCGATTGCCCCCCTGTGCTCATCATTGGTGAGGCTATGCCTCAAATACTGTGTTCAGTTCTGGGTCCCTCAGTTCTGGAAGGACACCGAGGTGCTGAAGCAGGTCTAGAGAAGGGCAAGGGCAGCGAAGCTGGTGAAGATTCTGGAGCACAAGTCCTATGAGGAGGGGCTGAGGGAGCTGGGCTTGTTTAGGCTCAGGTGGTAGTATCACTCTACAACTACATGGAAGGAGGTCGTAGCCAGGTGGGAATCGGTCTCTTCTCCGAGTCAACCAGCGACAGGATGAGAGGACATAGCCTCAAGCTGCACCAGGGGAGGTCAAGGTTGGACATAAGAAAGAATTTCTTCACAGAAGGACTGGCGGGTCACTGGAATGGGCTGCCCAGGGAGGCGGTAGAGCCGTTATCCCTGGAGTTGTTTAAGGAGGGGCTGTACGTGGCACTTAGTGCCATAGTCTCGTTGACGTGGTGGTGTTCGGTCACAGATTGGACTCCCAGATCTCGGAGCTCTTTCCCCCGTCACTGTCACCGACTCCGCTCCGAGGGCCGGCCCAGCCCCGGGGGGCGGGGCTCGGGCTGGTGACGTCGACGGGCGTATCCACACTGACGTATCACTCGCCCCGCCCTGAAGGGCGTGGCCTCCCCGCGGGGGCGTGGCTCGGGGGCGCCCTTCGGCCGCGGCGGAAGTGTCGGTGCGGCGCGGTGACGTCAGGCGCGCGTCCCGGCGGTGAGGAGGCGGCCATGGCGCACCGGTACCTGCTGCTGGCGGGGCGCGGCCGCCGCCGGGGGCTGCCCGCGGGCCCGCCGCTCCAGCTGCTCTGCGGGAGGGGCCTGATGGGCACCGCGCGGCCCTGCCTGGCGCAGGTGAGCAGCGAGCGCGGGGTGTGGGGTGGGAGGAGGGGGAGGGCCGCGGTTGCCGTGGCGGCGGCAGCGGGCGGCCCTGGAGCGGGGAGAGGCGGCCCGGCGCTGGGGGTACGCGGGGCACCGCGGGCTCCTGGGTCCTCTTGCCGAAGGAAGACGAGGCGGCACCCCAGAGCTGCTGCATCCCTCCGGTATTCGCAGGATCACAGAGTGTTAGGAGTTGGAAGGGACCTTAAAGATCATCTCATTCCAACCTCTCCCTATAGTGGGCAGGGACATCTCCCACTAGACCAGGTTGCTCAGAGCCCCATCCAGGATGGCCTTGAATACTGGCAGGTTTGGGGCATCCACAACTTCTCTGGGCAACCTGTTCCAGTATCTCCCCACTCTCACAGTACAGAATTTGTTCCTAATATCTAACCTAAATTTCCCCTTTTTCGGTTTGTACCCATTACTCCTTGTCCTGTCACTACAGTTCCTGATGAAGAGCCCTTCTCCAGGCTCCCTGTAGGCCCCCTTCAGATACTGGAATATTGCTATGAGATCTCCACGCAACCTCCTCTTTTCCAGGCTGAACAGCCCCAACTCTCTCAGCCTGCCTTCTCAGGGAAGGGTTCCCACTTCCCAGCTGCTGTGTCCCACCGAACTCAAAAGTTTCTCCATTGCTTTCTCAGGGTGATGATTCGTGTTAGGTGGGTTTGTGGCTGTGTGAGAGACTGAAATGTTGAAGGTTAATGACTCTGAGTGGTTTGTTTGGGTTGTCACTGTGTTGGAAAAGAAGAGGCTAACATATTGGAGGAATGACAGGCCTGTGCTGCTGCCCGGGGAAAAGGGAGGTGCTTAATTCCTGCATCTTCCAATGGCATCTTGGGAGGGTTGCTTTGTTTTCCCATAGAGTGGCGGACAGTCAGGCCTTTGTAGGTGTGGAGGTTATCTCCAGGGTAGTGGTATCTGTGAGGGGACTGCACAGAAGGGTGTTAATGACATAGTCCCCAGTACAAATGTGTGCTTCAGTTTTAATGCTGAATTTGTAGTTTTGTTTGGTCAGAGCTGAATATCATTACAGCAATAAATGAAACACTCTAAACAGTGCTGATAATCTCACAGGAAGCTAATTCTTGTTTCTCTCAATAAAATGTAATGGGTTTTTATTTGGAATGGAATTTAGGAAGGCGACTTTGTATTAATACTGGCATCTGGCTGTGTTTGTTAGCAGCAAAACAAGGAACTTCGTTTTCATAAAAGCTATTACCTTTTAATTGATCTTTCTTTTAAAAAAATTAGTAACTTGGAATCATAAGATCTTAGAAAGGCTTGGGTTGGAGGGGACCTTAAAGATCATCTAGTCCCAAGCCCTCTGCCCCGGGCAGGGATGCCACTCCCTAGACCAGATTGCTCAGAGCCCCATCCAACCTGGCCTTGAACAGTTTCAGGGATGGGGCATCCACAGCTTCTCTGAGCAGCCTGTTCCAGTGCTTCACCACCCTCTGATTAAAGAATTTCTTCCTAGCATCTAATCTAAGTCTCTACTCTTTTAGTTTAAAAACATTCCCCCTTTTCCTATCACTGCCTGCCCTTGTAAAAAGTAACTTGCATTAAGTTGAATTTCTTTACCAGGTTTTTGTTGTGTTCCCTCCCCCAGGTATGCTTTTACGTAATATTTTGGTGGCCGTTAGATAATTAAGACTCTTAGCTTAATTTTACTTTTATTTAGAACTTGTTTATGGATAAGAAAAATATAGAAAGGGGTTTTTTTGCTTTATATGCCATGACAGTTTTTACCTCTGACTGAGAGAAGCTGGGCAGAGTTTCCCAGTAGACAGTCTGAAATGGCATCCAGTCCAAATGTGCTGTGTTTGCTTTCCCTTTGATGTTTAGGCAGTGGATATTCTTACGTCAGCTAAGCTTGCTGTGGCATTCCCGCTGCCAGACAACCCACAGACAGGCCCTGTATCAGGATCAGTTTTTGTGGTGATGATTTACAGAGTTTCTTGAG